AAAGGCTATCATCTCCCTCCCTCCCTCATTCCCTTCTGCTTACACAAAGGAGGATTTGGATCCAATCCATGCTTTACTATTTAACAGGGAGAGAGAGAGAGTCAGAAGGAGCTCGCAAGAGTTTGGCTAGGATTCTGGGCCAGGACCCTAGTTTAATTTCTTACTCAACTATGAGTCTGATTGAAAAGATGAGTTCTCTCATAGATGCTCTGAAGACGCGATAAAGCACCTGAAAGCGTTGTTCTGGCAATGCCATACAGCAGAAGACATCAATAGGGGCCTGATTTTTCTAACTTTGCACACTACTACAAAACAGACATCACCAGGAGCTTTCAATTGTTCTCAAGTGTCTCCACCACAAACATAAATGAGGCTGTAACTAATTTTTTCCCTGGGTTCTACCAGACATTTGAATGTTCATATACTACTCCACAAATGACAGATGCAGCAATGGAATTCTAAACTAATCACAGTAAATTTAATAAAATGGAAAAGTCATGAAAATAAACTTGGCATTTGATCCACTTCTCAATTTTTTTAAATGCTTAAAAAAACGACAGACCTTGTTTTGTAACAGAAGCAAAACTGGGTGCCCTATGCCATTTGTGCTGTTCTATCGCCATGTACAAACCTCACCAATTTCAAGGGACGTTATTCTATCATAAAGTGGTTTCGGGCAATACTTCTTGGTATTTTTTCTATCCTTGCATCTTTTGTTAGAAGTCTAGCAAGGTTTTCTGCAATGCTACACACTTATTGGAACTTACCACCCACAGTGGACGTGAGGAATGATCAGCCTTTAGCAACATCTGACTCCGGTAGTCTTTTGCTCCATATTCATCCACTTTGATTCCAGAGTCTTCCACTTGCTTCCCTGCTGCTGAGGGAACTGCTTCCTGGGAATCTCTACCTGAGGTATCATATTCTTCTTCATCCGCCTCCTCATAATGCCGTTTCTTAGATTTCTTCCTATCTGAACATCAAAACAAGAGGGTTTTTTTACTATTTTTGTGAGTATTGTGTGTGTGTGTGTGTGCTTGTGAGCCTGGAAGTCTTGGTGACTTCTGGCGACACTTAGTGGGGCTAGGATGTTTCAGAGAGGTGACTTGATAACCTGCCTCTGTGTCCCCAGCCCTGGTATTCCTTGGAGGTTGAACCTTCCAAGTACTTGACAGGGTTGGCCCTGCTTAGCTTCCGAGATCTGACGACATTGGGCTTGCCTGGGCTATCCAGGTCAGGGCAAAACTTTCTAATTCAGAGTTCACCATGAAGTAAGGATATCTTCTGGTGGGAAATGCTTGAAAAACTTGTGGCTATTACCAGTTTTCTCTCTGGTAGCAGCAACAAGTTTCTTCAGACATTTTTGTGAGGTTTCCTCCACAGTAAATATTCTAAGTAATAAACAACACCACCTTTATATGTAAATTACTAACTGGTATTTTCTGCATAAGAAATTCAGAACCTGTTAAGCAACCCCCAAATAAGGGACATGATTCCAAACTATACTCTTTATTTTAAATCGGGGGTGAGGGGGCTAAATTATGCCTGCCCTGAATAGCCCAGGCTAGCCTGATCTCATCAGATCTTGGAAACTAAGCAGCAGGACCACCAAGGAAACCCAGGGTTGCTATGCAGAGGTAGGCAGCAGCAAACAACCTCTGATAAGTCTCTTGCTCTGAAGACCCTACAGAGTTGCTGTAAGCTGGTTGTGATTTAATGACACCTTCCACAACCACCAAATTATGCCTCCATGTAACCACACCATTAATCTCACAGCCAATCCTCTATACTCTCTATGAAACGGCAAAATCTTAAAATTATGACTAAATGGTACTTGACCCCTGTACAGTTATCTCATATCACACACAATTCAAACTCCCTATGCTGGAGCAATTGCAAAGAGAATGGCACTTACATCCACTGTTGAATGGATTGTCCTCTCATAGCACCCTTTTGGGATGAAATATTAGAGGAAATTAGGTGTACATCTGGTCACACTATAAAAAAGAACCCAGAATCTATACTCTTGAACCTTAGAAATGAAACTGCTTTATCCACTATACAAAGAAAAAGAATCGTTTTATTATTATTCGCAGCCAAAACAACCATAGCTTCAAAATGGAAGTCAGAAATTAAACCATCCCTAAACTTATGGTACAAAAAGTTATGGAACTTATACATAATGGAAAAAACATCTGACCTAGTGAATCCAACAAAATCTAATGGCGAATATAGTGAATTTATAATGATATGGCTACCGATCTTATCCCATCTAGTCTCTCAAGGAACAAGACCAGAGATAATAAGACACTCTTCGTTTGTGGTAAATGTTGATGTCAACACTAAGTTTAGGAAAATGCTTTATTTTATGCTGTCAAGTTTATGTACACTTACGCTGTAAACGATTGTTATTACTTGTCATTGGAATTTTGAAAATTGAATAAATTATATTGGGGGGGGGGGAATTAATCTCACAGCCAGACGAGGATCCCCATCAAAATGCACACATATCTGCTTACATCTTCCACGGAGGAGAAAGAGAAGTCCAGCAAATAGACATTTCCTCCGTTTAAGGCCAATGACTATGGTTCTCCTGGCAAGACCAGAGGAACTTTGGCGGGTCACCCCTCACAGGGCCAGGCTTGCCCAGTGCCATTTTTTTTTTTTTTGCAGACTAGGCCCCCCCGGTGTACCCACCAATTTTCAAACATAAATGCATTTTAGGATCCATCTTGAAAATGCCAACAGATGGGGAAAAGATCTGCATGCCGTGTACAACTCTCTGGGCACATCTGTTCGCCACCAAACATCTCAAAAGCCTCATGTCTTAATTCTGAGAAGCCTGAAGGAACAGAAATCTTTTCTTCTGCCTCTAAAAAAAGCTTGACGTGCTCTCTGGGAGATAACCTTGCAGAGCATCTCTGCCCTTAGAAGCTGCCCAAGCTGTGTCTGCAGAAGATGGCACACTAAATCCTTGAATGGGAGACCTCCTTGGAATACCAGCAGTCAGGAGGAAGGGGCAGGCTTTATTCAGCCACCTCTCTGGATGTCCTCCAAGCCCCCAGTAGGGGTCAGTCACCAGAGGTCACCATGACTGTATATTGAGAGATAAGAATACAGGCTGACACTGACCCTCCCATTATGTGAGCATCCATCTTGTCTTCATCAGAAGGGCGCTGTACTGTTGTTGTTGTTTTAAAAAAACAAGAGGTAGATTATTATTATTGGGGTTTTTTTAACCCAGTAGACTCGAAGCATGTTCTCAAACTGGATAGGAGGGAAGATCGAGCCCAGGAAACGCCAGCCAGGTCACGGCTCATTTTCTTAATTTCATTTTTTTAAAAAGACACAGGAACCAGCGTTCCCTCTAAGGCGAGTTAGTGCGAGCTCCAGTTTTTTAGCCTTTGGCTCACACCTTTTCGTCTTCGCTCAGGATGGATGGCTCCAGAGCAAACTAATTTACACAGTCTGCAAATCGCTCGCTCACAGCTTGAATGCCAGGAGCTCACCGAGTAGAATTTTTGCTCACAAGACTCCACAGTTTAGAGGGAGCACTGAACAATGGGGAACTCCTGTTCAGTGTTCCCTCTAAGCTGAGTTAGTGCAAGCTAGCTCCCAGTTTCTTAGCCTCCGGCTCACCCATTTTTGTCTCAGCTCAGGAAGGAGGGCTCCAGAGCAAACTAATTTACGCAATAGCCAAATTGCTCACTCACAGCTTTAATGCCAGGAGCTCACAAAGCAGAATTTTTGCTCACAAGACTCCAGAGCTTGGGGGAGTGCATTGAACAATGGGGCACTCCTGTTCAGTGTTCCCTCTAATCCGAGTTAGTGCGAGCTAGCTCCCAGTTTTTTAGCTACTCAGGCATTTTCGTCTTAGCTCAGGAAGGAGGGCTCCAGAGCAAACACTTGCTCACAGCTTGAATGCCAGGAGCTCACCGAGTAGAATTTTTGCTCACAAGACTCCAGAGCTTGGGGGAGCACTGAATAATGGGGAACAGATGTATCAACTACCACCTAGGGGACATGTGCCAAATGAACTCAGCAGTTATGTCAGGATGACATCTGGTCTCCCAACGTATTTTAATTAGGAGAAGAAAATGCACAATTTTAATAAATGTAAGATCACGGCAACTACACATAGAATAGCAATGGAAGAATTTATGCTCTTAAAATTAAACTTGAATGTCTGACACACTTATAGAGGGTAGTACACAAAGGAAAGAAAGTGCAGAGAAGTAGATGTACCAGCCCTACCCATGGCCAGAATAAGGGAAACCAAAGCCTTTAAAAATGTGTCTACAGTGGCATCCAAATGCTCTAAGCTGAAATCTGTCTCTGTTCAAAAACCTCAACACAGGTTTTCTTGATCCCTTGTCGTCCTCAAGATTCCCCCACAATTTTTTCTGCTCCCCACCAATGTTCCCTCTCAGCTGACTCAGTGTGTGAGCCAGCTCACAGTCTTTTAGCCTCCGGCTCACACGTTCTTGTCTCCGCTCAGGAAGGACGGGGCTCCAGAGAGAACTGATTTATGCAGCAGCCGAATTGCTGGCTCGCAACTTTAATGCCAGGAGCTCACAAGGTAGAATTTCTGCTCACGAGACTCCACGGCTGAGAGGGAACACTGGGCCCCGACCCTGCCTCTAGCCGGCGCTCCCCTGGGGGGCCTGCGCGAAGTCTCCGTGGCATCTCGAAGGCGAAGCGGCTGCTTGGA